CCCCAAAACCCCAAAACCCCAAAACCCCATGATGAAAGGTAATATCGTATTTGAGGTAATTTATAATATATTTAATAATCATAAAAAATGAATCAACTTTAAAAGAAACTTTTACTTTCTAAGGCCTCTTAATAGTTCTTAAATCCCACTAGCTCACTTTTATTACTTGGCATTAGTCCTGCTTACAGTAGGCTTTCTGAAGGCAATATGTTCACTCATTTGAGATCAGTGAGAACTTATCACCCAAACACAGTTAAAAAATATTGGGATGATTTCCATCCTACATATTATGACAACCCTGTGAGACAAAGCAACGGCAAAGGAAAAGTGAAATACAACTCTGCTGATCCTCTATGGCTTGATGAGAGAACTGAGCACGTCACTGGTGGTGTTTAAGTGGTAAGTAAATGTTAAACGATTATTTCTCAAATACATGAGGAAGTTGAGCTCATGATTAAAAGAATATACTTATCATAATAACAATCTCTAAATATTACAAATAGTACGTTGATACAATTAAAGACAGAGAATCATATGATCTGCCATTTAAGTATATTTGCTGGATATTCTATCAAATGGCTAAACGTGAGATTTACGACTAACAAATAGTCAGAAGGTTGGAGCCTGAGGGCATTAAAAAAGATATTAAGACAATTCTTCCCAGACACGCTATGGGAATTTTGTATTCTTATTACAGAATGGGATGGGGCTGTAAATACGCACTAGATCATTTTGAATTGAATATGACTAAACTAGTTGAAGGTCTTCGTAAGTACCTTGTGCATTTTAATACAATAAATATAGACATTTAAGACATAATTGAACTACTCGATGGATTCAACATGGGATTAAGCACAGAACCAGAATACATGATTGAAAAAATGAACTCTCAGTATAAGGCTTAGATTCTGAAACTTTGGGACTCTGAAGCTGTCTATCACTAGAGAGTGATATTTGAATTGTTAGACTAACTTGAAACCTTAGGTTATTTTGATGAGGAAATTTGGGTTAAGGCCGCTGACACTCTATGCCACAAGAAGAGAATTAACAACATATACTTCTTTGATATGTTCTACACCAGGTTTACAAAATACAACAACGACCCAAAGAATCCACTGTTCAAGAAACTTGACAAGCAAATCTAGACTATCGTTGATAGGCATTATACATTAGATAGAAAGTGGAGATACACTCTCGAAGATGGTGGCAGACTAAGAACTTTGCAAGAGTTAATTGATGTTAGGGAGGAGCCTTAACTAGAAGACTTCAGAATGTAAAGGTCTGGAGTTGACTAGGGAAAACTTGAGCATGCTAAAGCTATTGAAAGAAAGCTAAAGAGATTAAGGATGGCAAAGCTTGACAAGAATGTGTTCGATGAGATTCTAGATGAGATGATGAACTAAAAGAAAACTTTGCTTGAGATGCAAGCTGAGTTAGACGTTGACGAGCAGGCTATTCAAGATGCCTAGGATAGAATAGCAAAAAAGAAGCAAACCTTGTTGGCAGCATAACCCCAGGCACCAACTAAGCCAGATCCCAAAGGAAAAGATAAAAAAGCAGCTAAAGTGGGGAAATGAGCAGCTATATTTTGGAATAGAGGACACTCTCATCTAATGCAATGCCCCAAAAGTAGCCAGTAAAAAGAAGAGATATATCCCTTTATTTAAATTAAATTACTTCTCATTAAAGTCATATTAAACAAATCATGGGGTTTTGGGGTTTTGGGGTTTTGGGGTTTTGGGG